TGACCAACATGGTGAAACCCCATCTCTACTAAAAATACAAAAAAATTATCTGGGCGTAGTGGCATGTGCCTGTAGTCCCAGCTATTTGGTAGGCTAAGGTAGGAGAATCGCTTGAACCCAGGAGGCAGAGGTTCCAGTGAGCTGAGATTGGGCCATTGCATTCCAGCCTGATGACAGAGTGAGACTCTGTCTTAAAAAAGTAATAATAAATAACAATAATAATTTAAAAATTAAAAATAAAGAAATCTTCCTAGTCTCTTGACTCCTCTCTCTCGGCCTGTCCAGCCGCTTTATAAGCTGGATGTGGGTGGTCAATCCGGTGACTCAGAACTACCAGCTCCCAGAAATTTCCCTCCCAGCCCTGCATAGGTGGTCTAGCATCCCACGTTGGGATCGGGAGGGGCTGCCCCGCCTGTCTGGGGTCTCAGCCAAGCCTGAGGCAGAAGGAGCCTGCTAATTACCATCCAGGTGCTCATTAGCGGCCCCTCCTCTCCTCAGGATTCTTTCCCTTTCCTATTTACTCAACCTCTCCTGACCAGAACCTGCCCGCTGACATTTCAACATATTTAAATCTCTCCTGAAATTAAAAAAAAAACAAAACAAAAAACCTGTTTTGACCCCAAATCTCCTTGCAGCTACCTCCTAATTCTCTCTTCCCTTTCAAAGCCAAACTTGTGAAAAAGCTGTCTGCATCCACAATCTCCGTTCCTCACCTCCCACGCATTCCAGTCTGGCTTCCCCCCATCCGTCCCAGCATCTCTTCCCAAGATGGTCTGATGCTAAGAGCGCCGGGCTGAGGCTGGAGAGCACGAAGCTGGCCTGGCCTAGGCAGGACCCTGGCGATGGGAGCAGCAGTAGGGGACACAGTGGTTGGTGTTACCCAGGGTTGTCAATGGCAGCTGCAGACGATAAACTAGAACTTCTGAGCAGTTCCAGAAAGAATATCTGGCCTTGAGTCCTGAGACTATGCCAACACCTACTCACCTTCATCGATTCATTCATTCATCCAGCCAAAAACTCTTTATTGAACACACCTGGGCCAGACCCTGAGTTAGGCACCTGTTAATAGACTTGCTCTCTTCCCTCATGGAGCTAACTGGGCATCAGTCAAAGAGTCATGAAAATACACAAAGATAACCGAGATGCTGGATGGAGAAGTGCAGAGTGTGTCACTGTGGGGTCAGATCTGGCCTGAAAGGTCAAGAAGAGATTTTCAGGCTGGGATCTGGCCAATGACTAGGAATTAGCTAGTCCAGGAGGAACGGGGGTGAGGAGATGATAGGGAACTGGGGGAAAAGTGTCTCTGTGGGACCAAGAGGCCAGGGATTCCAGAATTGAAAAGGATCAGCAGGAAGCAAGGAGGGAGGGGTGGGGAGAGCTGGATAGAAATTAGATTTTTCTCTTTTTTTTTTTGAGACAGAGTCTTGCTCTGTTGCCCAGGCTGCAGTGCAGTGGCGCAATCTCCACTCACTGCAACCTCCACCTCCAGGGTTCAAGCGATCCTCATGTCTCAGCCTCCCAAGTAGTTGGGACTACAGGTGTGCACCACCA